ATATATTTTGTTGTTGTTGTTGTTGTTGTTGTTGTGTTTTTTTTTAAAGAAGAATTGATACTGTCTTTGTGGTACCCAAGTGGGCAGCATAGCAAAGAACACTTTTCCTTATTTTTCTCTTTTCTATATGTATCAGCTAAAATAACATAGCTTTGCCAGAGTCTTCTAGTTCTGTAAAGATACTGTATGCATACTCTTGATGAAATAGATCATATCTGAGTTCTACAGCTTTCATTCTACAAAAGCCTATCACTGTCCCAATCCCACCATTCACAGTCAGCTTGACCTACATCCAGTAGCCAGACTACCGATGCTCAGCCTGGTCAGGCATGGATCTACAGTCACAGAATACAGCGAAGGTTCAGACACACAGAAGTATTTAATATTTTCTGCTATTCCTCCTCATCCTTACTGTGAATTCAGTGTATTTATAATTAAAAATAAATATTATTCTGAAAAAAATCACAAATTTTATATGGGAGCTTCACTAACTGTAGGCAGTCAAAAATATGAAGTGATCTGATTGATTAGTGACTACTGAGAAATGACAAGCAGCCTAGCAGTAGGCTGTGCTTACCAGAAAGGCAATAATTTTTTATAGAGTTGTCTCAAAATTCTTTCATCCCTTTTCACTGATTTTACAATCTGGCTGCCATTTCATGTTGGCACTGGTCAGGGAGAAAGGAATGGGTATCACACTGATAGCCAGACTGTTCCAGATTAAATGTCCCGCTGATTGAGACCTTCACATTACATAGTGATTTTATGTGCCCCTGAACTACTCTGAATCTCTATAGGATCAATTTCTATCCCTCCTCATTTTTCAGAGTTTTATTCTCTGCCTTTATTTCTGCAGATAATCTAATGGCCAGAGGACACCGTGGCTGTAAGATATTAACACTCTCAATTTTCCATTCCCTCTTGTAAAAACACAGATTTCTGTCTCAGTTTTCCATCTTAAACACCTCACCCAAGCCTGTCAAGACAAGGAACTGGTGCTCCTGTTACCCATGCTCCAGTCCCACTCTCCAGTGTCTTCAGGGTTTTAATGCCACCATCCCCTCTTCAACTGTCCAACCTTACACTCTAAAAGGTCTTCCTTCCCTGCATAACCAGGACCATTTTTCTCTATTGAAAAGAACCAAAGACAAATTCCTTAAAGCAATTACCCTTTACCAGCCTCCCCTGCATATACTATACAATCTCATTCGATTCGTATAATAAATCTTTTTCAAGAGTCACTTCCCACTCCATCTTCAAACCTAAATAATCTGCTTTCATTCTGTTCTCCACAAAAACTGCTGATTGTAAAGATCACTGTTTTAATTAGTTCTCCATAGCTGTAACAAAGTATCTCTGATAAATGACTTCAAAGGACAAATGACTTATATTGGCTCACAATTTCAGCCTAGGGTTGCCTGACTCCAACCATATGGGTCTATAGCAGCACAGTCCACCAAGGTGGCAGCATATGGTGGAAGTTGGTTTACCTCATGGAGGGAAGGAAGTGGAAAAGATTAAGAAGAAAAAGCTCAGGTCCCAATATCCTCTTTGTGGGAACACTCCCATGAGCAGGCTTTCTTCCACTACACCCTATTTTCTAAAGATTCCACCACCTCCCAAATGGTCGATTAAGTGACAAATCTGGTGACCAAGTCTTTGTGGTTTCTTTCAGCTCTAAACTGTAACAATCCTAGTCCCATCCCATCACTTGATCTCTCTGAATCATTCTACTATGTTTTTGAAATTTGTTCCTTCTCAGCTTCCTTTAATGATGCCTTGGTTTCTACCCACCTATTCATTCTTATTCAAGACTTGTCTTTGGTTGACTCCATGGTCTCATTTGCACCCTAAGTTTGTATTATAAAGTATCTACTAATGGTTCTTGCCATATTCATCTCCTACTTAGATCCACAAATCCACCCAACTGCTACTGCTAACCTTTAACTTAACTGTCCCTACAAATAGTATAAAACCATCACACATAAAAACAAACCCTCTCTGCTTCCCAAACTTCTATTCCACCAGGACTTGCTGTTTTGGTAAATAAGTAAATAAATATGAATATGTGGATTCAGCCCTTTTCCTCACTCCTAAGTCAGTCATTACATCCTACCATTTGACAGGACCTTTGCACATGGCCATAGACCAGTCCCTCATGAGTCTCAAATGACCTTCTTGCTTAGAAGGTCAGTGCTTTTCAAGGTGTAGTCTCAATAGTATGAACTATCACCTGGGAACTTAAGTAAAATCCAGCTGCCCTGGCCTACTGAGTCAGGAACTCTAGGGTGGTATCTGGTAGTCTGTGTTTTAATACATTTTCTAGGTAATGCTGAACCTAAAATTTGAGAACCACTGTTCCAGTCTACTCCCACTGATTTGTTCTCTGCACTCTTAAAATAGCCATCTTGCAAAACAAAAACATTTGCTGTGTTTCTGCTTTGCTCAGAAGTCTTTAGTGATACTTTTGACTGGGGGTGAAATTTCAATTTCTTAGTACAGCATAAAAAGCCCATCGGGGATCTAGTTTCTGCCTGCCAGTTTTCAGAAAGTAAAGTACAATGAAGTACATTTTTGTAAGAATGGACTATCAGGTAGTGATTAAAGGAATAAATCCCATTATTTGGGCTTTGACTCTCTACCTTATCATTTGACAGTTTGCCATGGGGCCTTGGATGAAGCACTTAATTTTACTATGCCTCAGTTACATCCTTTGCAAAAGGAGAATAACAGTAACTTCCATATCATAAAGTGGTTGTGCAACTGCCATAATACTTGGTACTCAGTTTGCGTTCAGTGATTGTAATTACTGTTACTATTTGAAAAACAAAACAAAACAAAAACACTTACTGGAATCAATCTGGAGTGTAGCAGGAAAGAAGACTGGAATGAATGTCCAGGCTAAGGGAAGTGGGTCCCCTAAGGGAGGAGGGCTACTTCTGCTGGACAGTTTCAGTTAGTTATAAAATATCCAAATTTTCAAGAAAGAGTGTCTGTCATCTTGGGGCTAATTTAACTGGGGGAAGGGGCTGAATCAGAATCTAGGATGTTATAGGAGAGTTGAGTGTGAGAGCCAGATAAGCTAATTATGAAAGAAACAAGGAAACTAAAAGAGCAAAGTAGCAAAGACAGTGTGTTTAAGTTCATGTTTGTTTCTGTGATAATAAAATTAGAGTTGCCAAATGATTAAATGTGAATCCTCGTATGACAGAGACTTGATCTGCATGTTCAGAAATATTGGTTATTTAAGAGCAAAGGCTTTGAGTAACAATAGGAATTCTAACTTCCATCACAATTTAATTATGACTGTGAGCAAATCACTTCTCTCCTGCCTCAATGTAATAATCTGTAACATAGGGCCCCATCATGAATCTTATCACATAAATATTCATAGCTTAGTACAGTGTGCAGCGTGTGGGAAGTGCTCAATACATGGCAATTCTTATTACCAGTGGAAGTGTATCTTCAATACAAATCATACATAAAAGTAAGCCTCTCTCGACTCTCCTACTTGATCGATGCCATTATACATTATCATCTAACATTTTGACTAACATCTGGTCACTTACAAAACTAGGAAATGTTGCCAGGCATGGTGGGGCATGCCTGTAATCCCAGCACTTGGGAGGCTGAGGCTGGGGGATTGCCCCGAGTTCGAGGCCAGCCTGGGCTACATAGTGTGTTCAGGGCCTTTGTACTACAAAGGGAAATCCTGTCTCAAAAAAACAAAAAAAACCAAAAAACTAGAAAATTTTATAAAGACAGACCCAAATACAATCATGTCTCCAGTGTTCGCATCCTCTAGGACTTATCAATTTTCACATCAAGTATGTGTGACAGTAACTTTATTCAAATGCTCACTTAGTATCTATTACATGCTGGCAGGGTTCAGGGTAAACTACTAAGATGAATAAGGCATGATTTTTTTCTCCAAGATGAGAGGCAACCTAACAAAACATGATTAAATACTCTCTAGGAGAAAACAAAATACTATATGCATTAACACCTTCTGCAGAGTTGATTCAATTTTCAAAACCTTACTACTTGTTTTCTATTCTATTTCTTTTGATGGAATCTCAATCCGTTTTTACTGACTTTATTTTTAGTTACAGCAGGGAGTCAGTAGCGACACAACGGTAACTGCCCTCGGTTCCAGGTAGGGTGGCTCATCCTTAGGCTTTCACTTTCTGGGAGCACGCGTCCTAAAGTTTTCTTCCCTATCCTTTCCTCACGTTCTATTTCCCTCAAAGCCGCACTTCTCAATCCCTAGGCCACTCTGATCCCTGTTAAGAATGAAAGATGTATTTCCTCAGCTCTTGGGAGAGCTGGGATAGCTCACAGCTGCCAGCCCCTTTCCAGGGCTGACTTGGCTGGAGAGGTGAAGTTACGCCCCTCCCAAGACAACAGACATCAATGACTGACCAACGCAGGAATATAAAGGCCTGACCTTTTCCTCCAACTTGGAACAACTGGGAAGGGGCCACCCAGCAGTAGTGTTGCTATGGAGGTGGAGCAGACCTTCTCTGGGACTGCACTACAGCTCAACTTTTTCGCTCCGTCCAATCCTGCTTCCTTCAGTCCTCAGCAATGATTCAAAAAGTCCTGTCTCATAAATCTCCTGCCCTCAAATCTCAGTCCGCTTCCCAGGAAAAACTACCTAGGTCACTCTAGAATCCTGTTGTTCATTTGTCAGCGTTACGCCAGTTCTGCCGTCCAGCCCCAGAGAAGGGGGCAGCCACCCCGCCAGGAGTCTCGGGCTCACTGTGCAACCCGCCACCCGGAGACGGACAAAGGCCTCGGTAGGCCGGGAGGGAAGGAGGGGCGAAGGGGGCGTTCCGCGTTTCCTTGGGCACCTTCTCCGCCTGCTCCACAGGGCAAGTGAGCAAGGACCCTGGGTTCCATCTCCACACGCTTCACGCCGTGCGACCAACAAGTACTCAATGCCTACAGCTACTCCGAAGCCAGGTGGCCTCCCCTTGTCCCCACCCCCTCCAGTGAGAACAAGGGCGACATCTGCGGGCGTTAGTCACCTACAAACGCCCGTCTTCGGCCGCACATCTGGCTTTTCCATCTGAGGTTCCAGCCTTCTCACCTGGCCACGACGCTGCGACTTCCTAGGACGCTGCCACAGCCAGCGGACCCTGGATCCCGAACCTGACGCCTAGCCGCTGCCGCGGACTCAGGTAACCTTTGCCCGGGGGGCCGAAATGGCGCATGCGCAGGTGTGAGATGGCGCCCGGACCAGCTCTAATCCGCTTCTCCGCGTTTTCTGGTCCGCTCCAGCGGTGGCAGTAGCCGGAAAGACTAGGGGGCGGGATTTATTTAGCGTCAATCTCAGCAAATTGTAGAAACTGTAAAATTTAAATAATTCTTCAAATGTAAATAACACCTAAAAAGGGGACAAAATTGCCTTTTGATGTATCCTTCACAGGCATTTATTTAATGAATAAAAGCTAGGCAATCATTCTTGGCTTTATGTGCTTCGTGATTGATCAATCACAAAGCACTAGAGTCGGCCGCTCAGCACCAAACCCCGCCTCTCTCTATAGCTGCATAGAAAACGAGGAAACAAGTGCTAGACTAGCTTAACCTCCCTGGATCCGGTTGGAGGCTGGACATGCTCAGTGAGAGTTGGTCGCCTTCTAGCTGGCTTCCGCCCTTAGTCCTTGGAGCCAAGGGTTACAGCGAAGTGAGAAGTTCTCCACAGTGGTGTCCCTCAGCAGATTGTTTCCGGGTTATCTACGAGGTTTTTCCCATTCAAAGGCAAAACTTTTACTCTCCTGGGTCATTCCAAAGAATAAGGGAAGAAGTTACGTTTAAAAAAATCTCTCATCGCTGTGCGCATGGAAAATACTTTCCACTCTTGAGCTATGATTTTTCAGGTATCAAACCACAGTGATACTGCGTTTTATTTTCTCCCTACCACTACTACATAGTACTGGAATAACCGTAACTTATCACCTGCCAATCACATTCTTTGCGTTAACAGCCTTTAAATGGCCAGCCTGTATCGCCATTTTTGTTTTGGCAGCGTTTTGAAAGTCGTGAGCGTCGGTGGAGGCCATTTTTCTCTAGGGCGGAGTCCATGCTTTATCCTTCCAGCTCACTAAGTGATTCGCCGTCATTTTAAGTCCTGGCTCCGGCTTCAAGCGGACGCGAAGCTACCGAGATCATCTTGTGTTTGGGCGGTGGCTGCGTGCCCAGTCACGCGGGGTACCCTGGGAAAGGGGAAGTGGGTCAGAAATACGAATTCTGGAACCATCTGAGAGTAGGATTGGTAGTTTGCCGGCTATTTAGACTTAGTGTCCACAGCTGGGTACTACTCCACCAGTGACCCTGGACAGTAACAAAGCATATAAAGCCCGAACCCAAACTCTGCCACAATCATAGGTAAGACGAACTTCTGGCGACCTAAGATGGTCTTCCCTGCAACTGAATGTTTGCCTACCCTTGTATGTTTTTTGGCGGCTTTTCCAGATCCTTCTCCCTGTGCTTCAACCTCTCATCATTGTTTTCAAAGAGCTGAAAAGTTGTTAACTACCAGGGTGTGAGAAGCCTGGGCTTTAAAAAAGAGAAAACGTTTAAAAAAAAAGAAAGAAAGAAAGAAACTGGAACCCAGCAGATGGGCCAGTTATTGGTATCAAATTATGCCCGCCTGCATCCACATGTACAAAAGTAGTTCTCTTCCCAGATAATTTTGGAGTGTGATGTAAATACATATTATGTTTGCATATACTTACATTCATTCAGTACTGCATTTATTAAATGCTTGAGATTGTATAAAAAGAAGCAGTAAACTAATACAACTTGGAGGCCTTGTTCACCCCAACCCCTAGGTTGTGACCAGGAGCACATAGTATTCTATAGTTCTTAGCACTGTTAGACTATATATACAAACCAGTATTTTATTTCTCACTTCCTCTAACCCCCAATTTTTTCCTCATGTAGGAATAAATTATGTTGATAGTTACTCTTTGGACGCTCGATATAAACATATGTGTAAGCCAGTTAGCCAGTGTTGCAATTAGGATTCAAGTTCCTTTAGGCCCTTGTTGCTCAAAGTGTGGTTCATCACCCAGCAGCATCAAACTCCTGTGAAATCTTGTTACAAATACAAATACAAAGTCAGGCCCCACCGTAGATCTGGGAATCAGAATCTTCCCCCAAAAGTGTACCTTAAAGTTCAAGAACTGCTGATACAGGACGTAGGATAAAGGGATTAGCCGCCTTTTTTCCACCTGGGCTTCTTAACCAGATTCAGTGTACAGTGGTATCAGCTAATTAAATGTTTTAAATGCGATGGATATTTTTTGCATATTTTTTTTCTGATTTTAGGCCAGAGTTGAGATCATGATACCAAGTTAGCATTCCAAAAAGTTGAAGAGAGATTTGCTGGTCCAGTATGCTTTTATGTAACTGACAACATTCAAAATGTAGTTTTTTCTTTAAGTCTTCACATCCAATTTACCACTAGGATGGTATTAAAATAAAAGAGGAGGACGTTGATGCTGTTTCTTGCTTTCTCCTATCCTGTATGGATATTTTAAATTTTAATTTGTTATAAGTTAAACTCAAAAGTCTGCAAAAAAGTTCATTTAGTTATTGACTTGAAAGCCTTGGATTGTGGTTTACCAGAGGTTTTTTTGCGGGGGGAGGGGGTACAAGGGATGGAACGCAGGACCTTGTGCTTGCGAGGCAGGTGGTGGAACCACTGAGCTAAATCCCTGGCCCTACAAGAGCTTTTTATGGCACATTGCTTTCTTTTGTTTCTGTAATGAGGCGTCTACATCAGGAGTTCTCAACCTCAGGCCCACAGGAGGGCCACCTGGAGAGCTTCTAAAGCCACTGCAGCCCAGTTATCAGCAGAGATTGAGACTGCATAGAATTAAGGAGCCAGTCAGGTATTTGAAAGAACAGCAAATGACTTTCACTTTTTTTGTAATGCTGTACGGTAGAGATTTTTTTTCCTCCCTGTGGTTTTACTTAAAATAATTAGGATTGTGAAGGCAATGAAGAGAATTGGGTTTTGAATGTGGTGAAGCAGCTTCCTAGTAACTGATCAATTTGCCGTTTATTTTTTGTGCCCTCAGCAAGCTCTTCAGCCTTTCTGTCTCTTTTCCCTTCGTCTATTAATAGGGAAAAGAACAATGAAGGTTATTATTATTTTATTTATTCTCCTGTGAATGTTTCAAATTGTAGTGAATGTGTATGTCTATGTTCTGTGAGTGTAAGAAAAAAAGTATTGTGTGGCAGTTTGCATTGCTTTTGATTTTTACATGCTGCATTGTTTGTTGAGGGTGACAGTAGAGCAGGGTGAATAAAGAAATGAACTCTAGAGTTAGAGGTCCTGGATTCAAATCCTACCTTTTCTGCTTACCAACTGTGTGACCTTATATAGATTACCTAACTTCTTTGTCTCAATTTCCTCATTTGTAAAGTAGACTTGATATGAGGGTTAGATAGGTTAATACAAGAAAAATGTTTAAAATGCCTGGCACATAGAAACATCTATGTAAGTAGTAGCTATCTTATTTTTTATGTTTAAATCTTTGGATTATTAAGATTTTATTAATGCACACACCTTTTGCTTGTTTTTTTTTTTTTTTAATTTTAAAAGGCCCGTAATAGGGCCGAGGATTTAGCTCAGTGGTTCCAGCGTCTGTCTCAAAAGCGCAAGGTCCTGAGTTCGATCTCTGGTACCAAAAAAAAAAAAAAGGCCCATAATAAAAACCAGCTTTCTTGAAATACCACTGTGATACAGTAAGATAGGTGTGTGTGTGTGTATATATATATATATATATATTTAAAATGTGCAACTTGACATGTTTTACATGTACACACCAGCGAAACCTTCACCGTAAGACAGTGAACAAATTTATCACTCTCAAAAGTTTCCTCTTGCTCCTTTGTAGTCCTTCTACTACTCTTTTCCAGGTCACTAGTTGTTCAATATTCCCAAGTTTCTAGGTTTTTATCTATAGGGAGTCTTGCAGTGCATAATTTGTTTTGGTGGTGAGTCTGGCTTAGTTCACTCATAATTATTTTGAGATGTGCCTTTGTTGTATAAACAGTCATTCCTTTTTAAGTGTTGAATAGTATTCCACTGTTTTGTTTGCCAGTTGATAGCCATTTGGATTGTTTTTATTTTCACTATTCTTGTTTTCACTTTGCTTTGTTTTTCAGCTTATTCAATTTTTTTAAAAAAAGATGAGAGTGCTAAAACATGTTTATGTTGGGATTTTGCTTTTGTGTACTTTATGAATTCATCTTTTATGGATGAGGCATTATGGCTCTTTTATAGTGCAAAATGTGGGGCAGGAGATGTAGTTCAGTGGTAAAGGACTTGCCTGGCCTGCTCAAGGCCTTGAGTTCAATCTTTAGGACTGTAAAAACAAAACAAAACAAAGAAAAGAATGCATGTATTGACTTTTAAGGGGACATGTACCCCTCTCTCTACATACCTGTCTATCTGTTTCAATGTCTCTCTCTCTCTCTCTCTCTCTCTCTCTAGGGTCTTGCTGTGTTGCCCAAGCTGCCCTAAAATTTGTAGTCCTGCAGTCTCAGTCTCTCGAGTAGCTGGGATTATAGATGTGTGTCCCTGTACCCGGTGGATGGTTATTTCTTGATGTGAACATGTCTAATCATTTTAAGCTGTTTTAATTCTTAAAGTCAAAGTCTACTATTTCTATATTCCTTCTTAGAAATTGAAGAAAATAATATGTGCAAATTGGAAACTTGCTAATTAGGTAGCAAAGTAGGGATTTATAAAGCCAGGCAGAAATGTCATAAAACTCCCCTTTGCCAGTAGCTGGATAGCACCACTGATGTTTTGAGCCTTTTTGCTTGTGTTAGAAAAAAGCAGAGTCTCATTTTGCAAACATTTTTACATTTAAAATATTTATGTTTTGTGCTTGAATAAATCAGTGCTTGTTTAGAATCGTATGTAACAGTTACAGGGAGTATAGTATAACTGGTAAGTCGATTATAGTGCAGCTATAATGTCCTGGTTATAAAAATTCATTGGTCCATTTTGATTTATTCTCTAATTAGGAGAAATTAGCTTTTTTACAATTACAAAGTATTTTAAATTGGTAAACTGGAAAATCCACTCTTCTGATACAGTTGGGAGAGTTCTGACTAATGCATTTTGTTGTGTAACCCACTGAAATGAGGATCCAGAACAGCTTCCCTGCCAGGTTGTCTCCTGCTACCGCTCTGTAGTAACCACCTTCACTCTTAGCAACCAGTGACTTATTCTCCATGTTGCAGTTT